AAAAGAGGACTACATTAGAGAACAATGACAGACAAAACAACAAATAACTTGATGGTATACAAGAAAATGCTCACAAGACATCGCCGACAAAATAGGTTGTCAAAAGAATCCAAGGCTGCTTCAAGATCCTTTCCAAGAAAGGAATTCCAACTTTGCACTTCATTATCCCCATCTTTGGAGGCCCCTGCGTCCTTCTCCTCCTTTATAAGAGCTTCATATCTTGCCTGTATAAGATGTTTGATGGTGTTTCATATCTCTGTAAAGCCAGCAGAAAGCAAATGGGAAACAGCTGGACCAAAGTTTTGCACTATGACCAGTTTTTATTAGAAAAGAAAAAGACATATAAAGTAAAACACATCATTTCACAAAAGTTTTGTTCAATGGCACATACCTTGACTTCACAAGGGCTTCTAGAAAAACATTTTGCTAAAGATTCAAGCACCGGATCAGATAAACCAGATTCCTCAATGGTCATACTGGCAATATTAGAACATAATAACAACAGAATTATCAGTTAAAACTTAAAAAATATATCAGCCTTTAACGAGAACATTCAAAACTGTCCATTTCTACAAACCAAAAGTTTGCCCAACCAGTTGATTAACTTAGTGTCCTTTTCTTTTACCTGACACAGATGAAGTCACTAGAAAAGGCTATCCATTAAAAACCCTTAGGAGATTATTTTGTTCATAAGCTAGAAATTTGCAGAAAGCAGGTGTAAAGAAAGAGAAATGAGAAAATTAAACATATATACCGTATGAAGCAAATTTAAATAACCTTTTCTAGTTGTTGAATTTGTTTCCATCACCCAATTAGGAATTTGAAACTGTTAAATGCACTCTAAGTAGTATATTTGACCGACCATAATGACATAACACAATCCAGAAAATGAAAGAGGTTGAAATCTATACCAAAAACAACATGACATACACAAGTACATTAAAGTGTTCATCTACATCCTTTTTGCTTCAAATTCAATGATGCCTAACTTGTTTCAGTGAAAAATTAAAGCATTCATGAAGTAAAGACCAATTACAGCAAATAAAAATTTCAAGACAATTTTATGATCACACCACTACAACAGAGGGTAAATGAAAGAGAAAGATATCCTCAAGACAGTAACAGAAAAAGGAAACAAAAAAGAGCAACTAGAGATCACATATCCATATTAGAATATTTTATTACACCAACCAAAGAACGTTTTTTGATGGAATACTAACCGAAGAATGTAATCTTCAGGTTCTAAAAATTCTCTTTTTTCCTCATCTTCCTCAAGTACTTCCTCCTCACTATCACTGCAAATAAGTGCTTCACCCCCATTTTGATCATAATAAATCCTCCTTCGACCTACCACTGACTGATCTTCTGTCATTCTTTGATTTCTGCACAAAAGATGTGTAAATTACTCACAAATTAAGCGAGACAAAAGAATTGTGAATATATATATAAATGTTCTATAGGCACCTGCATAATTTACTTTTACATACATGGTGTCTTCATAGCATATATATTTTGTGAATGGATAAAGAAGAAATACTCTTATTCGGACTTAGCATGCAAAGTTTAAGCGATCTTCACTACCTGTCCAGAAAAATCCACGTAGTATAAGGAGGTAATTTTTTCACTTCAGGAAGCTTTACAGGGCGAACAGCATTCTTGACTGGAATACTTGATCCCATGAGAACTGCTGTTGAATGTTCAAAAGGGTTATGACTATCTTTGTCCCCACTGCTTGTCTCAATACCATTTTGCATACCAATTGCATCTGTTTGCCTCTTTGTTAAAAGATCTACAGCATTATCAACATTGTTCCAACTACTTCTTCGCTCCATCGATAATTTGTAAAGATGGTTTGTGATACCAAGGAGCTTCTGCCCGTTTTCCTCCAGTCTTTTCTGGAAACAGAAACAACAAAAAATTGATACACAACAAGGACAGCATGAAAATGCACCCAAGCAAAGAATAATCAGGTATGAATCCACCTGTACAGAAATACACCGCTTTGCTGTAACTTTCTTCTTTAGAGAATCAATTGCAGATAAAATCTCCGGAGCAGTTGGAGCATTTTCTTGTCGTTGTATTATCATCTGTAAAAATCCAACACAAATTCCACCATTACAAACCTTGAATTTTTCAACTAAGAATTGAACTGTTCAAATTCGATTCCGCCCGGTCAACGCAACCAAAATCCACGAAATGCATACAGAATCACAGAAGTATCCAAGCAAAGCAAATTCGACCGATATTTAGCTCCGTAACACACAATGCCACAGCAGGATAAAAAGAGAAAAAAAAAAAACAGCAATCTAACGAAATAGTCAAACAAGCATCATAACAGGAACTAGATATGCATTTTGGATAGAATTAAACAAAATCTAGGGCACGAGTACCGAGGAGTCCTTGGGAGGCTCCGATCCGGTCGCTGACACAGATGGCGAGGACTTCGCCGCAGCCATTGCCGGAGAAGGAGCTGGTTGGGACCGCAAACGGAGACGGGAATTCGGAGCAGGTTCCGATTCATGCGAAGGGAATAAGCCAAGAAGAAAAAGGATGAATGCTGAGGATTTGATTTAGTACTAATATAGGATTTGGCGGGGTCAGGCTTGAAACTTGAAACCCTAACAGCAAAAATTTCTCTCTCTCTCTTTGAAATTTCCGGTGCGGTTTGTTCTTAAATTTTTTTTTTTTTTAATAATATATTGCTTTCCATTGGGTGTTATAATTTCATCCAAAGTTGTAATAAAATAATGTTAAAAGTATAAAATAAAATTTTTGGTGGGAAAGGAAATGGTAAGAGAGATTTGAATTACTAGTGACTTGATGGGTCGGTCCATGGGAAATTTTTTGTTTAAATCATCAATTAAATTATATTAATAAAAATAAATCAATTAAATTAAAGTTTAAAGTCCGAATATATTGGCCTTTGTATGTAAAGCTACTATTTAGATATTTATTGAAAACTTTTTTAATAATAAGTATTGGTAATTTTGTTTTTAATATAAGATATGAAAAAATAATTGAAAGATAATTTTTTATGTATAGTCTTATATATTATTTAATGATAATATCATTTTACTTTATTGAGATTCATGCTAGTCCATATATTCATGCATTTAGTTCATCCATCCTAAAATAAGAGATTTTTTTTATTATGTATATATAAATTAAGAATTTAAGAACAATTTATGTTTTTATTTATATTATCTTTAAAAAAATAAAAATAAAGAAATATTTTTTATAATAGGAAGGATAGTTAAAGTTAAGGATAGTGATAAGGTCAAATATAGAAAATTTTGTTGTCTTATTGAAAATATGAGAAAACAATTATTAATATAAGATAAATTTTAAATAAAAAATATCTATTATTTAAAAAAAGAAAACAATATATGAAAGTTGAATAAAAAAAACTATTTTTTATATCAATATCCTTATTCTATAACACTAGAGGCATGTAACCCCTCCCTCTGCACATATATGTATATTGGCATTTATAGTTTAGAAGTTTCCAAATTAATTTTTGCCCTCTTAAAGGGCATAACCCACGTATACCTACATATATTAATTTAAATATAACATCAATAAGAGTCCATTATATATAATTATTTATTGCCACCGTGTTAATTTTTTGCTCAAGTAACGCCCCAATTAATTTTTTGGACATAAAAAAAAATTGTAGAGTAATTAAATAAATTATTACTAAAAAGAAACTCCTTCACACATATAATCAAGGTTTAAACCCTGGTGTGTCCCCTCTACCTACCGAGGGAAAATTTTCAACAAGTTGACCTGTTCTATAAGAAAACAAAAAAAAATTGTTTGGACTGCGTCCAATTTATACATTTTTCTTTGTTTTGCTCATTTTATTTTTTTATTATTATTTTTTAAACAATTTATCAATAAATGAGTTCAAAACCGCCATGGAAAGAAAAATATACCTTAAGTTGGTAGAATATCAATTCAGCCGAAAGACCAGATGCATTTTGCTCATTTTATTTTATTATTATTATTTAAACAATTTGTCAATGAATGGTTTCAAAACCGCCCATAGAAAGAAAAATACACCTTAAACGGGGAGAATACCAATTCGTCGATGGGCCAGATTCATTTTGCTCATTTTATTTTATTCTCTCAAACTCATAATAAGATAGATTATTTTTTTAGAAAAAACATAAGTCACATCTTATTGAACTAATTCGGTCGGTACAACGATAGGATCATTCTATACCTAAACCTTTCTGTTATTCTGACTTTCTATCCTCAATTGTGGTAACAGCATTCATGAAATCGTAATCATTGGCCAATGCCTCTAATGTATCAGGCGAAAGACAAGCTTCAACATCAATATCCCCTTCCTCTACTCCGCGGTACACTGTCAACAACCCAGGAACCTTGTTTGACGCCCCACTTCGTACCGCAATTGGCCTTCCCCATCCAAAATCATTTCCATACACATCAAACCTAGGCGAACAACTCGTGCCCATAACATCCCTTCCTGTGCTGCTTTCCCTGACTAACCTTGGTTCTCTTGCCCATGACTCCAAGAAATTCCTTATTTCTTCTTCATTATGTGTAGCTACCATTTTGTTCATTTGCAACGCAGTATTACCAATTCCTTGCTCCAGCAACTCTCTCACCTTCAAAATCACAATCCCAGCCTGCACTGCATTACCAAAATATTCCTCCGGTACAGAGTCAAGTCTTTGCCTGATACCAACTGGTAATCGGTAGTTAATCTCCGCTTCCGGATCAAGATGTTTGGTCCGCATAACAGATAGCCAAATATGAGATAAGAGGGCTTGAAGAGAGGAGATATTGCTGGTGCCTAATTCAGCATTGGCTTTCGCTTTGAGTTTTGCAATATTTTCTTTTGAGAAGTGGAAAACTCTTTCTTGCATTGGTAACGGAGTGATATCAAGATCGTGGATTTGTTTGATAAATGAATTGGGAAGGCGAATTGGGCAATCGGTGTCATTAAGAAACCAACGTTGTAAGGTCGGAGGTTTGGATAATTTATTGGCTCCACCGCAAATTTCACACCAAGAATTCAAGAAATGCCAAAAAGATTTACCATCACAGATAGTATGATTGACGGTGCAACCAATAAAGACACCGTCAACAAGCTCTGTCACTTGCACAGCTAGAACAGGCTTCGAAGTACCGTCAATGTTCTTAACCCCATTAAGAGGGAAAAATGATCGAACAATACCAGGAACATAAACAGGATCAATAATATCTGAAATGCTCACTCCATCCGCTGTGGCATGGACAAATAAGGCACCGGCGTTGTTGCAATACTGATAGTAGGAAGTGATGTCATCGCCCTGTTCCACAAAGGCAAGGCGGCCAGCAAGCGGAGGAAAAAAGTCTAAGCTGCGGGAAAGAGAGGCTTTTAAGTGGTGGATCAGGGTTTCTTCTAGATCTACTTGCTGGGGTTTTGGTTTATGGAAGAGAAGTCCCTTCTGGATAGGACCATAAGGGAGGAGTTGAAGATCCCATGGAGTTAAATCAATCCTTTGAGATGCTTCGTTGTTGTCGGTACTTGATGCTTGGACTAAACTACTGGAGATGCATCTAGCGCTTGCCATAATTATTTGGTTTTCTTTCTTAATATCCACCCTGATTTGAATTGTGTGGAGAAATCCAACAGAGAGGCAAATTCAAAGAAAAAAAAAAATTCTGGATATTTCAAATAACGAAGTATATATGCATCATATCATGTATATGTAAATAAGTAACTATGATGTGTAAATTAAATACCGAGCTTACGAGTAGTTCATATGTAGGAGACTCTGATCTGGTTGTGGATATGGAAGGCGGTTGTCGAAGAGGTAGGTGGCTGAGCAGTGGCAGCAATGGCGAAGTGGCCGACGGCTGTTAGATTTTATGGTGAGGTTTGGGCAATTATGCCGTTTTAATTACTTTGGTGATTGAATTTTATATTACAAATTAATTTCTGGGCAACAATGAAAGCTGTACCTGTGCGTCGCTGAAGCAGCATGGAAATTTCTAAGAGTGCGGCAACCTTAAAAAAAACATGGGACACAAATTTGCATGATTTAATAATGTGCATTATTACTTTCTTGTCAAACTTTGGTTTTGGAATCTCTCGTCTTCATGTTTTGAATCTCGAGATACTGAAACCCTTTGTCGTGTTCATTTTGTTCAATGCTCTTGTATTACTTTACTACAATCATTTTTGGGTTTTCAAAGTACGGTCCTCTTTTATGATGATGATAACAGGAGGACAAAAGTTCTAGCGGCCATAGTTTTTGTCTCACGCCTTGTCTTCATAGCTTTAGAGGCTCTCTGCCTCTTCGGTTGACAATGTAGTTCACCATTTGGGATTTGGGACACAATGCATCCAAGTTCTAGTAGCAGTCATGTTACTCTAACATTCCATTTTTTGGGTTCAGTATTAATCCATAGGAAGGCCAACTTAACTTGGACTGACCCCACAAGGCAGAAAAATTGAGTTGGCTTTGGCATAGCTCTGCTATGCACCACCCCATCACCAGTGCTTAGGCTTATCATATCTTCTGCGGTGAGCATGCTAGAAGGCAAAACCCTTTTTCCGGAACTGACCATGGATCCAAGCATTTTTAGAGATAAATCAAAGCCCACAACCCTGCAAAACCAGCTCAAACAAATTAGAATACACCCACAGAGCTCAAGTGAAAGTTATGCTCCTTGATTCAGTCATCAGATGCAAAGCAACATGCAACACCTCTCAATGGGATCTTATCAAAACCAGTCTTGGTTTTTAGTATTGTGGAGATCAGAGAGACGGTATTTGCATTAAATTAAAGATAAGTATGGCTGCATATGCAGCAAAGATGTCAAAACCCAAAACAAATCAAATTGTCAACACCTAAAAAATAACACCACATTATAACTAAAAAACTAGTCTAATAGTTATATGGGTCTTTACATATTTAAATTACTCTATATTTCTTACATGTGAAACTCTAATTCTTCACATTCAGAAGGGAACAATATATGTCTACACTCTCTCTCACTTGTGAGTTGTGAAATCTCCTGTGAGAGTACATTTTTCCATTCTTTTTGATATACATGATTCAATTTTTGACATACATGGTCCATGAATATACATATCATGGGCACAACATCATCATACTTGTCATGAGTCTATATAATATATACTCTTACTTTTGCTAAACCTAACCCAAGACCCCAAAATTACTACTAATTGTGTTACATCATTGGTTTTTATACAACTACCACTTTGTTAGGGAGATACAAAGTTTAGTGGGGAGATATTGAGTAACCCATCACAAGTGATAACTAAAAGATTAGTTCAATAATTACATGAATCTCTACTTATTTAAACTACTCTTTTTCTTCGTATTAAAATGCGATTGAGGATATGTTGCCTTTATATTGTACCAATATTTGGACACAACAAGGGTTCGAGGGACATAATCTGACGAACGAGGCATTCAGGCAACTCCAAGATCCTGTCCACACCATCATTATCATTCTCATCCGCTTCATGTTTGCACAAGTCTGCTTTTTCAGGTAAAATTTTTGTTGCAAAGTTGAGATCTGTTAGCAGAAAAAAAAAATGTAATAATTTCTTTTAAAGTTATCCTATTTAAAATTTCAACAAAATCAATTTGACCCAATTCAAATCCTAACTGAAATTTTTTTTGAGAAATTGATGACTTTAAATGGATTTTATTCTGTTTGGATAATAAGATGAACTTTATGGGGTATAGATACAGAGACTAGAGAAAAAAACAAAAGTCGAAGCAGATCTGCTAATCGTCGATGGTACTCGCTGAAATCGATCGGTGACCTACTTGATTAAGCAGAGAGAAAGAGAACCCCAGATTATGCCTTGCTGAGGGTTTGGTGTATCGTTCCTATTGCAGAGATGGTGAGGATGGAGACTGGAGGAGAAGGATTCACGTGGAGATGGTTTGGTGTGTCGTTTCAAGATTATTGTTTTGATTATGTGTTAAGGGTCCAATTAATTTTAACCTTTTACAATGTTTCGAAAGAAATAAAAATGTTCCTATAATGTGCATTTAGCGTAAATATTAAATGTTTATTTATTATATTTTTTATAATTAATTTATATTAAAAATATAAATTTTAATTTAATAAATTAATTAATTAAAATTGTTTAAGTGGTAATGGTATTAAAATAAAAATTAATATTTATAATTTTAAATGTAAATTAATTATAAAATAATATATTTATTATATTCTTTAATTATGCTCTAAGTATAAATTTAAAAAATAACAGTTAGAATTTGGTTTTAAATTTATAAATTATTTAATTTAAATAATTATACAAATTAATGTCAAATTTTATATTTATTTATAAAAATTTATTATAAAAAAATAAAATTAATGCACTTTATTATCAATCACAAATTAAAAAAGTCCTTTATTATTTATTGTTCTGTGATGCAATATATAGGTTTCAACTTTTGGATGACTAAATCTAACTAAAGAATAATTCCATTAATTTTATTTCATATTTCCGTAGGACAATAAACAAAGACTTGAGTGGATATAAACCAGCTAGATGGTTACAGCAGCCATGAATTCTTCATCATT